GTAAATTTAGAACCGCGTATGAATAGAATGTTTGAGTAAACCGCACCATGTATCATATAGTGTAAAGTGTTTTGCATCCGTTTTTGTCTATATTTCCGACATGTTCCCGCGGCCGGTAACGACGCATTACGCTGCTACATGTGTACGTGACCCCGGCACCACGCCGACCCACGTCCTGTAGATATTTACCAGGCGCTTCAAACACTTCACGTGGGGCCCCCTTAACTGCGAACAAATAACATGAAACAGTCTTCTTAACTTGTCTCAATGATAGTGATGTTTTCTATAAAAGATTTGATCCATTTAACTTTTTTTTTTTAGTTAAAGGCCATGAAAGTAAGCTTCTGCATAAGTAAGGCTGTATTGTATTGAAAGCGGATACAAAACTAACAATATTCTATACTGTTGCTATACATTTTATGCAGGAGAGTCTGTGTTGCGTCATCAACACCTCTGTCGGTCTGGTCTGTATGCAACTGGAAAAGGGTCAAGAACGAGCTTAATAACAAATCGACAAATAACAATCTCTAAATAATGCGCTCCAGGCATTTCACAGCAAAAGCCACATGTTGATAGGCATTGTTTACGTGTGGGTTTTGTTTTTGGGGGGAACAGGCACAATGTTGGGATTTTCCAAATTTAAATGTGATGAAAATCTAATGACGCTTGAGGTTTTCATACTTGGATTAAACTTTCTAAATTTTTATGATTATTTTAATTATTTATTTAAGGGTGTCCTAAATATGTCTTGCCTTCTGACGTCAGAAGATAGTAAAACACGTGGCTAGGGTAGGCCCTCCAAGTAATAGTAGCTAACGTGGCTAGGGTAGGCCCGCCAAGAGATACTTGCACACATGGCTAGTGTAGGCCTTCACAGAAGCAGTAACTAGTGGCTAGGGTAGGCCTGCCAAGAGATAGTAGCACACGTGGCTAGGGTAGGCCTTCACAGAAACAGTAACACACGTGGCTAGGGTAGGCCTTCACAGAAACAGTAACACACGTGGCTAGGGTAGGCCCGCCAAGAGATACTTGCACACATGGCTAGGGTAGGCCTTCACAGAAACAGTAACACACGTGGCTAGGGTAGGCCTTCACAGAAACAGTAACACACGTGGCTAGGGTAGGCCTTCACAGAAACAGTAACACACGTGGCTAGGGTAGACCCGCCAAGAGATACTTGCACACATGGCTAGGGTAGGCCTTCACAGAAACAGTAACACACGTGGCTAGGGTAGGCCCGCCAAGAGATAGTAGCACACGTGGCTAGGGTAGGCCTTCAAAGAAACAGTAACACACGTGGCTAGGGTAGGCCCGCCAAGAGATAGTAGCACACGTGGCTAGGGTAGGCCTTCAAAGAAACAGTAACACACGTGGCTAGGGTAGGCCCGCCAAGAGATAGTAGCACACGTGGCTAGGGTAGGCCTTCACAGAAACAGTAACACACGTGGCTAGGGTAGGCCCGCCAAGAGATAGTAGCACACGTGGCTAGGGTAGGCCTTCACAGAAACAGTAACACACGTGGCTAGGGTAGGCCCGCCAAGAGATAGTCAGGTCACGTCCCCCGTCACACCAGGTCCCCGTCATATCAGGTCCCCTGTCACACCTTCCCCGTCATATCAGGTCCCCTCGTTAGATCAGTTCCCCTCGTCAGTTCAGGTCCCCATTCATATCAGGTCCCCTCCTCAGATCACGTCCCTCGTCAGATCAGGTCCCCCGTCAGATCACGTCCCCCGTCTGATCAGATCACCCGACAGATCTAGTACCCCGTCATATCAGGTCCCCGTCAGATCACGTCCCTCGTCAGATCAGGTCACCCGTCAGATCTAGTACCCCGTCAGATCAGGTCCCCTGTCAGATCAGGCCCCCGTCAGATCACGTCCCCCGTCAGATCAGGTCCCCCGTCAGATCAGGTCCCCGTCAGATCAGGTCCCCCGTCAGATCTGGTCCCCGACAGATAATGGTCCTCCGTCGGTTCTGGTACCCCGTCAGATCTGGTCCCCGTCAGATCAGGTCCCCGTCAGATCAGGTCCCCGTCAGATCAGGTCCCCCGTCAGATCAGGTCCCCGTCAGATCATGTCCCCCGTCAGATCTAGTACCCCGTCAGATCAGGTCCCCCGTCAGATCTGGTCCCCTGTCAGATCAGGTCCCCCGTCAGATCAGGTCCCCCGTCAGATCAGGTCCCCGTCAGATCAGGTCCCCGTCAGATCAGGTCCCCCGTCAGATCAGGTCCCCGTCAGATCTAGTACCCCGTCAGATCAGGTCCCCCGTCAGATCTGGTCCCCCGTCAGATCAGGTCCCCGTCAGATCAGGTCCCCCGTCAGATCTAGTACCCCGTCAGATCAGGTCCCCCGTCTGATCAGGTCCCCCGTCAGATCAGGTCCCCGTCAGATCAGGTCACCCGACAGATCAAGTCCCCGTCATATCAGGTCCCCGTCAGATCAGGTCCCCCGTCAGATCTGGTCTCCGACAGATAATGGTCCTCCGTCGGTTCTGGTCCCCCGTCAGATCTGGTCCCCGTCAGATCAGGTCCCCCGTCAGATCAGGTCCCCGTCAGATCAGGTCACCCGACAGATCAAGTCCCCGTCATATCAGGTCCCCGTCAGATCAGGCCCCCCGTCAGATCTGGTCCCCGACAGATAATGGTCCTCCGTCGGTTCTGGTCCCCCGTCAGATCTGGTCCCCGTCAGATCAGGTCCCCCGTCAGATCAGGTCCCCGTCAGATCAGGCCCCCGTCAGATGACGTCCCCCGTCTGATCAGGTCACCCGACAGATCAAGTCCCCGTCATATCAGGTCCCCGTCAGATCAGGTCCCCCGTCAGATCTGGTCCCCGACAGATAATGGTCCTCCGTCGGTTCTGGTCCCCCGTCAGATCTGGTCCCCGTCAGATCAGGTCCCCGTCAGATCAGATCCCCGACAGATAATGGTCCCCCGTCAGATCAGGTCCCCTCCTCAGATCACGTCCCAAGTCGCATCAGGTACCCTCCTCAGATCACGTCCCAAGTCGCATCAGGTACCCTCCTCAGATCACGTCCCAAGTCGCATCAGGCACCCTCCTCAGATCACGTCCCAAGTCGCATCAGGTACCCTCCTCAGATCACGTCCCAAGTCGCATCAGGTCCCCGGTCACATCTGGTCCCCGTAAGATCAGGTCCCCTCGTCAGATCAGGTCCCCCGTCACATCTGGTCCCCGTAAGATCAGGTCCCCTCGTCAGATCAGGTGCCCTCGCCAGATCAGGTCCCCTCATCAGATCAGGTCCACCCGCGCGATCAGGTCTCCGTCAGGTGAGGTCCCCTCGCCAGATGAGGTCTCCGTCAGATGAGGTCTCCGTCAGATCAGGTCCCCTCGCCAGATGAGGTCTCCGTCAGATCAGGTCTCCGTCAGATCAGGTCTCCGTCAGATCAGGTCTCCGTCAGATCAGGTTGACTCAGTGACTTGATTCATGGCGTGTCATCGTATCCCGACGGCGTCAGTATGTGGTCCAATCTCGATTATTTCCGGGCCGCCGTCGTTTAGGTGAAATACTTGTGAGTGCGGCGTTAAACAACAAACAAATGGTCCCGATTTTAAGTATAAGTGGAGGCGTTTAACAGCCAGTTTGAAATTGAAACACTGTCTTCATGTATAACTGGGGTATTAACTGTTGAATTACATGAACGCTAAAGTATAAAAAAAGCAGATGAACAAAGTGGTGTTTGAACCACTCGCATAAAACTCTGTGACACAACTAAATCGCCCGAGCCAGGTCCCTTAACGTGACAGGCCCCATCTCCTACTAAGGCAGAGTCACAAGTCCATTCTCACGTAGCGTGACGCGTGTTGGAAAGCGGCCAACAATGTTGAGATATCTATTGTCAAGGAAATGGTAAATGACTGAACCATTCATACTTTTTCATGCGCGTGTATACGATACACCTGCCGGCGAAGTTATTCGCCTCGCTCTATGCTGATGATACCTGTTGAAACAGAACATTCCTCTTATAGAAAGAAAATGTATGTTATGTCCATCAAATGATACTGCAGATGAATACCATTTGTTTACTTGTGTGTATTTTAATGAATCAAGAAGAGCGAGCGAGCGGGTATGATTTTACGCCACTTGTAGCAATATTCCAGCAATATCACGGCGGGGGACACCAGAAATGAGCTTCACACATTGTACTATGTGGTGAATCGAACCCGGTCCTTTGGCGTGACGAGTGAACGCTTTAACCACTAGGCTACCCGGCCGCCCAGAATCAAGAAGAAGGTTCTTATCTCCTTATTACATTTATGGACCATCAGTTTTCAAAATGACCAAGTTATTTCAATGTGAAAACATATCTACTCTGAGGACACTGCCTCATTTCTCATGTTTCTGTCGCTACATTTTTCGTACAAATAAATAGAACATACTGTATATTTGCCGCCATGTCACAAAAATAGACCTGTGTAAACTCCTCATTTTGCTGTGATCATAGCCTGGAGTGAATAAAGTTCTGTTGTTCTGTTCTGTTCTAATTTGTTTGTGTTCTGGGACAACAAGCCTCCAGCGACTTCTCTGCGCAGTTGACAAGCATCATGGCGTCCTACTCAGTCTACCTGCCTGGAGCACGCGTCTCTCACCCCCGCTAATCTGTTTGTAATCAATCTGAGAGTGAGGTGCTTACTTCAGGCAGCGATTAGCTACTGCTAGTAAATAATTCGCTAATAATACACCGTCGGCTCTTATGACCACGCTGTGTCGGGATCGATCGTTGCTGGGTTGCAGGGGACGCGATCGCATCTACAGGGCTACCTCATCACAGCTACCGTACTCGTTGCCGGAGTCCTCTACGTTCCCGAAGTCTAATTCACGGGTATCTTGAGGAATTCCATAAAGAAATTTAAGCATTTAAAATTCGCTGGTTGTATCACAGTCAAACGTGACCCTTAAGTCATCCTCGTATATGATAGCAGCTCTCTCTGTTTGAACTTTTATATGTATGTATACGGTAGTTGATATCTTGGCGAGACTGTAAGGTTTTTGACTTTTTGATCTGGGAGTGAGATTGGCATGTTGATTGGGTGACGGGCTTGTGTTTTGGGGTTGTCCCTGAAACGACGGAGGTTGTTGAGACGCTGTGCTTCTACGTGGCCAGAGACGAGGATGTCTTGACCAACGACGACACAGCGGGACTTATTCATTGAACTGGTGAGTTTATATGGTTACAGAAAGCTAGATTTGTGATAAAATTCTCTTGCGATTTGTGACGTGTATTGAATATGCTGATATGCAGTGTTTTCTCGTTTTCCGAAAATACACACACGTTTGATTTATGTAATTATAATGATTATGAGTACATAAACTCTTAAATTCGATTCCCTATATGGGTACACGGTATGGGATCTGTTCTTGTGCCCCCGTCGTCATAGTGTTGGAATATTGCTGAAAGTGGAATAAAGCAATTCTCACTCACTCACCCTGTTACCCTGGCTTATTAATGATGTTTTCGTATGATAAAACACGTCTTCTTCTGAAGGAGTTATGTGAAACAGTTCAGTGTTGAAAGTTACTCGACAAAATACAGTACAGCTCCCGTTTATGATGCTACACAGTGAGTGAGACATTCGGATAATGTTTTCTACGTGTCGGGGCGGTCGGGTAGCCTAGTGGTTGAAGCGTTCGCTCGTCACGCTGAAGACCCGGGTTCGATTCCCGACATGGGTACAATGTGTGAAGCCCATTTCTGGTGTCCTCCGCCGTGATATTGCTGGAATATTGTTAAAAGCGGCGTTTAACCCAACTCATTCACTCTTGTACGTGTCAATGCAGAGTATCGTACAACAATTAGATGTTCTTGTTGAGAGAGCGTGGTAAAGACAACAAAGAGATAGGGTGTCTTGAATACATACCGTTTTTCGGACAATAAAGATCCAAAAATAGTGACGAATATAAGACAAACTGGCTTAGAGAACGTAACGGCTTAAAGGTCAACTTTATCAGGCCACGATATGATATCTAAAGTAAGTGTTCTACATTTCTACAGATCAGAGCTGTCAGAGAGACGGACTGCAAGTAGTTCTTGCATAAAGTGGTATTGCTCTCGAGTTAAATAATGTTATATTTTCAAACAAATAAAGTACTTAAACTCATTAAGTGTACACACATATTGAACGCATATATGCTCAACGTATGTGATCAACCGTCAAGTTTTGGTTTTGTTTCTTGTTTAACGCCGAGGGGTTTCAACAGTTAATATTGTATGGGTGAAAAACAATTTGGGGGAAACTGCAGAAATGTGTTTTCAGAAGAATTCATTCAAAACATTTTTGTTTTTTCTCGAGAACATTCTGCATTGTATTTCAATTCATTGAATGTTCTTCCACTCTCATTTCCTTGGAAGATGAATTGTGTGTGACTAAATTAATCATAGTTTGTAGGATGAAATAAATGTTGAAAAATGAAAACGATCATATCCCTAAAAAGGTATTAGGTCTGTATTAATATTATCGATCGCGTTTGAATGAGTTCGTATTTTGCAGTTGAAGGGAGACAACTCTTACACACATACGGAAGATGAGCTCGCTGCGCTCCTCGGTTCGACCCAAGAGCTCCAAACAGAAATGGGGCACTATCCTGAAGCCAGAATTTGGTCTTGGCTACCAGAAGCTGACAAAATACGAGATAGCCCAGACTGTAAACCGCCTAAATACTGTACCAAGCTCCGATGACAGAGCCTATGAGCGCTTCAATAAGAAGATGTCTCAAGCAGAAGTTGATGAAATGGTGAGTGTGTTTGGAGCACGATGAAGGAATTTCAGAGAGCAAAGATTGGCATTCTTGAAGTCTGTGAGTCAGTTAAAAAATGTACAACTTTATGGATAACAGCTTCTGGTCTATTGCATAAAGCAGCGTGTCGATGTAGATTCTTACAACGTTATCAATTCAACTTGATAACGTTGTGGGAATCTTCATCTATATGTAATAAACCAGAGACTGAATTACCTTTTCACTGACACATCGAGACACCCCAACGCGACCCCATTAAAACAAATTTCCGTTTTGACGATATACTCATAAAAGTCCAGCTCACTATGTACCGGTCTTGTAAGTAGTTTGGTATTTTTACAGGAACGTTGCCTCTGCGTAATACTTCCTCATATTAACTGTAAAACAGGTTATACCAATGAACGCCTTGGTTGATTGTCGTCATGTTGATCGTTTAAGCTACTTATTCAACTTCCAAGTTGTCGATTGAAGAAGTTATTGACATGCCAAGACTCTGTTTGACCTTCACCTCCGGTTTGTGTTTTCCCCGCCATTTTGATAGCTCGGCACTGGGTGGCACAGTGGTGCAAGTGTTCGCTCCTAACGCCGATCCCAGTTTCGATTCTTGGTTCAACATTGGTGTTCTCCGCCATTTAGAACCTGGAATATTGCTAAAAGCGGCGTTTTATTCCACTCTAAAGCTAATCTCCACTTATGCTCCCTCTCTCTGCCTCACCCCTCACCCTTTGTCTCCACCACGCCGAGGTCCCGGGTTCGATTCCCCACATGGGTACAACGTGTGAAGCCCATTGATTGTTTAAGCATATTTCTTAGCATCATCTAAGTATCTCTCCCGTGATTGCAGGGTGGGGAGGTAGCCTTTTCGTTAGATTCCCCACATGAGTACAATGTGTGAAGCCCATTTCTTGTGTCCCCCGCCGTGATATTGCTGGAATATTTCTAAAAGCGGCGTAAAATTATACTCACTCACTTTGTCTCCGCAGATCAAGCGAGTGTCCAAGACGGACGTGGACAGGATCCCCGACTCGGACCGGCGCGTGCAGAAGTCCATCTACATCGGCATGGGGGTGGTGTCCTCCTACGCCTGGCAGGGCTACAACTAGAGGCGGCCGGCCACACACTGACCACTGGCCTAGCTGGGGACAACTTGTGACCGGCGGATAACCCGATGACCACAGACTCGCTAGGTGTAGCTTAGATTTTTAAATTTTTAGTGCAGTTTTTTTTCACTTTTCGAATTGACTGCTTTTATTGACTGAATATATGGTTTTTGTAGTTCAACATTAGACATTATTTAATAGACTGGTGACAAGCATGCATACATGCATTCTACCTAGGCAGGTGCGTGTTTTACAAGTGACGAACATGCATGCACTAAACCTAGGCAGGTACGTGCTATTCAGGTGACAAGCATGCATACATGCACTTCTCCTTGGCAGGTGCGTGTTTAGAGGTGATAAGCATGCATGTATGCATGCACTATACCTTGGCAGATCGGATTTGCCTCTCACTTTCTACTTCGCAAGGAAGATCTTCTCATCCATGTAGTGTGTATATAGTGCAGCATAGGATGTTCGTAAATTCGTCAGGTTGGAGCCTTTCGTGTTTGAGCCTGTAATATAAATATGCAAATTCCATTATTATCCGCTTCCATCAAGGAAGGCGGTGGATCAGCTATGCATGCCATGTTATTGCCATGTACAATGCTGTCAATCATCAGTGATGCCCATAGTAACTTCCCCCACACAGCGTATAGCGTGTGATCGGTGCTCAATAGATTTATATGACGGCCGTTTTCAGGTGCAAAATATGTTGTAGTTTATTTTGAAATAAAAATGCTAGTGATTACATGTTTGTATGTCGATTTCATGAAATAAAGGACAAGGAATAGCCTCCTGTGTGATGTGGTATATGAGGTGTATTCCCTTGTTGCCTGGGTCACGACAGGTGTATATCAACCCCTACAGTAAGTCTCACAACACGCGAGATGGCTACAGCACGTACAGTATGGTCCTTGGTACATGACAGTTCGGCCGATGCAGGCAGTCGACCATGGTTTTTACTTCTATTTGTAATCGCATGTTTGTTAGGGCTGGGGTAGCCTAGTGGTTAAAGCGTTCGCTCGTCACGCTGACCACCCGGGTGCGATTCTCCACATGGGCACAATGTGTGAAGCCCATTTCTGGTGTCCACCGCCGCAATATTGCTGGAATATTGCTAAAAGCGGCGTAAAACCATACTCACTCACTGTTATGTGTATTATGATTGAAATGAGTTTGAACACGAATTCGAACACAACCGGTATTGCAGTTTATTTGTTTATATATTCAACAGCATATCCGTTACCCAGTGTGAAATTACTCCAATTATTTTTTATCTGAAGGATTTCCTAAAGATGACCTTATTTCCATTCCAAACTTGTTCAGAAGGTGTTAAATCCCTCATACACACGCAGCAAACAGTAACTGTTGTGATGCATGTTGCATAAAGAGGTTAAAACTACATAATTGAACATGCGTTCAGACACCTTACTTTATCTAGCATCTCGCTTGAAGCCAAATGGTTTCAACTTACTATTATCCATGTACACGTCAGTGTAGCTTTGTGGGTCACGGCTGACATGCACGCGACGTTAATCCCTATTTCACCGCACTATGTGATATACGGGTGGGCACTATAGCTAACACTTGCAGATAATAAGAGAACGATCGTTTGATATACAGGTGGGTACTGTTGGTGGCAGGGGTAGGAACGGTCCTATGTTGAAGGGGTGGGTACTCTTGGTGGCAGGGGTAGGAACGGTCCTATGTTGAAGGGGTGGGTACTCTTGGTGGCAGGGGTAGGAACGGTCCTATGTTGAAGGGGTGGGTACTCTTGATGGCAGGGGTAGGAACGGTCCTATGTTGAAGGGGTGGGTACTCTTGGTGGCAGGGGTAGGAACGGTCCTATGTTGAAGGGGTGGGTACTCTTGATGGCAGGGGTAGGAACGGTCCTATGTTGAAGGGGTGGGTACTATTGGTGGCAGGGGTAGGAACGGTCCTATGTTGAAGGGGTGGGTACTCTTGATGGCAGGGGTAGGAACGGTCCTATGTTGAAGGGGTGGGTACTCTTGATGGCAGGGGTAGGAACGGTCCTATGTTGAAGGGGTGGGTACTATTGGTGGCAGGGGTAGGAACGGTCCTATGTTGAAGGGGTGTGTACTATTGGTGGCAGGGGTAGGAACGGTCCTATGTTGAAGGGGTGGGTACTGTTGGTGGCAGGGGTAGGAACGGTCCTATGTTAAAGGGGTGGGTACTGTTGGTGGCAGGGGTAGGAACGGTCCTATGTTAAAGGGGTGGGTACTGTTGGTGGCAGGGGTAGGAACGGTCCTATGTTGAAGGGATGGGTACTGTTGGTGGCAGGGGTAGGAACGATCCTGTGTTGAAGGGGTGTTTTACTCTTGGTGGCAGGGGTAGGAACGGTCCTATGTTGAAGGGGTGGGTACTATTGGTGGCAGGGGTAGGAACGGTCCTATGTTGAAGGGGTGGGTATTCTTGGTGGCAGGGGTAGGAACGGTCCTATGTTGAAGTGGTGTGTACTATTGGTGGCAGGGGTAGGAACGGTCCTATGTTGAAGGGGTGGGTACTGTTGGTGGCAGGGGTAGGAACGGTCCTATGTTAAAGGGGTGGGTACTGTTGGTGGCAGGGGTAGGAACGGTCCTATGTTGAAGGGGTGTTTTACTCTTGGTGGCAGGGGTAGGAACGGTCCTATGTTGAAGGGGTGTGTACAATAGATGGTTGAGTTAGGAACGGTCCTATGTTGAAGTGGTGTGTACTATTGGTGGTAGGGGTAGGAACGGTCCTGTGTTGAAGTGGTGTGTACTATTGGTGGTAGGGGTAGGAACGATCCTGTGTTGAAGGGGTGTGTACTATTGGTGGTAGGGGTAGGAACGATCCTGTGTTGAAGGGGTGTGTACTATTGGTGGTAGGGGTAGGAACGGTCCTGTGTTGAAGGGGTGTGTACTATTGGTGGTAGGGGTAGGAACGGTCCTATGTTGAAGGGATGTGTACTATTGGTGGTAGGGGTAGGAACGGTCCTGTGTTGAAGGGGTGTGTACTATTGGTGGTAGGGGTAGGAACGGTCCTGTGTTGAAGGGGTGTGTACTATTGGTGGTAGGGGTAGGAACGGTCCTGTGTTGAAGGGATGGGTACTGTTGGTGGCAGGGGTAGGAACGATCCTGTGTTGAAGGGGTGTTTTACTCTTGGTGGCAGGGGTAGGAACGGTCCTATGTTGAAGGGGTGTGTACTATTGGTGGTAGGGGTAGGAACGGTCCTGTGTTGAAGGGATGGGTACTATTGGTGGTAGGGGTAGGAACGGTCCTGTGTTGAAGGGGTGTGTACTATTGGTGGTAGGGGTAGGAACGGTCCTATGTTGAAGGGGTGGGTACTATTGGTGGTAGAGGTAGGGACGGTCCTATGTTGAAGGGGTGTGTACAATTGATAGTAGGGGTAGGACCGGTCCTGTGTTGAAGGGGTGTGTACTATTTGTGGTAGAGGTAGGGACGGTCCTATGTTGAAGGGGTGTGTACAATTGATAGTAGGGGTAGGAACGGTCCTGTGTTGAAGGGGTGGGTACTATTGGTGGTAGAGGTAGGGACGGTCCTATGTTGAAGGGGTGTGTGCAATTGATAGTAGGGGTAGGAACGGTCCTGTGTTGAAGGGGTGTGTACTATTGGTGGTAGGGGTAGGAACGATCCTGTGTTGAAGGGGTGTGTACTATTGGTGGTAGGGGTAGGAACGGTCCTGTGTTGAAGGGGTGTGTACTATTGATAGTAGGGGTAGGAACGGTCCTGTGTTGAAGGGGTGTGTACTATTGATAGTAGGGGTAGGAACGGTCCTATGTTGAAGGGGTGTGTACAATTGATAGTAGGGGTAGGAACGGTCCTATGTTGAAGGGGTGTGTACTATTGATAGTAGGGGTAGGAACGGTCCTATGTTGAAGGGGTGTGTACTATTGATGGTAGGGGTAGGAACGGTCCTGTGTTGAAGGGGTGCGTACTATTGATAGTAGGGGTAGGAACGGTCCTATGTTGAAGGGGTGTGTACTATTGATAGTAGGGGTAGGAACGGTCCTATGTTGAAGGGGTGTGTACTATTGATGGTAGGGGTAGGAACGGTCCTGTGTTGAAGGGGTGCGTACTATTGATAGTAGGGGTAGGAACGGTCCTATGTTGAAGGGGTGTGTACGATAGATGGTTGAGGTAGGAACGGTCCTGTGTTGAAGGGGTGTGTACAATTGATGGTAGGGGTAGGAACGGTCCTATGTTGAAGGGGTGCTGTCTCCTATTGCTGTCTCAGCCTGTATTTTGAGTGAGTATGGTTTCACGCCGCTTTTAGCAATATTCCAGCAATATCACGGCGAGGGACAACAGAAATGGGCTTCACTCATTGTACCCATGTCGGGAATCGAACCCGGGTCTTCGGCTTGACGAGGGAACGCTTTAACCACTAGGCTACCCGACCGTCCCTCCTATTTTGAAGGGGTGTGTACTAACACAGTCGTAGATACTGCCAGTGTTCGTTACCGTTATTCACCTGTGATGCTGCTAACTGAAAGCTGACGTGGTATATCTGTAATATTGCAAACATGTTCGGGTATCCATGTTTAACTGTCGCGTGGCATCTCACTGGGCTAGCACTGTATTCCGCTATAAGTCTTGACGAGTACAAGCCACATTCACACGTTTATGCACGTCGCTCCATACGTGAAACAATCTTGAACGCGAAGTTAAACCCCATTGCCCACACCGTATACAACATACTTCCACATGGAGATAACTGTAGCAGCGTCCGTTTAATTGTGCTAATGCCTTATAATACCGCGCAAGTGAAGTATTTACACAAATAGAAACGTTTACACAAATGTATCTAACACTGCGTGCAGAAGCTTGCTTTTACAAAACCATCACACAGGATTAACGTTAAACTGACTGTGTAGAATATTCAAATCATCTTGTTTGATTGTTGAGACTCAGTACAGCGCGAGTTTATTTTCACAATAAATAGGAAACACCTTTCTCCGTGACGGACGGCGTGTTACATATAGATAAAAACTGGCCTTCATATTTTCTACATGTAGACAACCAGATCCCGAGCTAGATATACGTCTTGCCGGTACGCCAGTGGGTGCGAACTGCCCCCTCAACACACGCTCCATGTGCTAGCAATTGAAATTGTGTTTTTTAAACAATTTTGGAAATTTGAGCTCTCAAGCCCGGCTTTCAATTTATGACGTGCTCCCCAGCCGATGGATTTTTTGTGTTCGTTTCTCTGGGTTTGTTTGTAGCGGTGTAGCCGAGGTGATCAATGTGAGTGTTAAAGTGGGCTGTAAGTTGATATGTACAGACATAATTTCACCGAGAATCATATTAAAGAATTAGATATCAGCTTATAGTTAAAAGCTTCCCCCAGGACATGATACACATGCTCGCGAGCTACAAGATGTAGTCGGTTCTGTTTCATATAGAATACACAGTTGTGTGGAATAGGCAGTAGATGTGTGGAACAGACAGTCGCTGTGTGGAATAGACAGTAGCAGTGTGGAATATACAGTAGTGTGGGATAGACAGTAGATGTGTGGAATAGAGAGAAGATGTGTAGAATAGACAGTAGCAGTGGGGAATAAACAGTAGCAGTGTGGAATAGACAGTAACAGTGTGAAATAGACAGTAGATGTATGGAATAGGCAGCTGTGTGAAATAGACAGTGGCTGTGGGGAATATACAGTAGATGTGTGAAATAGACAGTATGTGTGTGGAATAGACAGTATGTGTGTGGAATAGGCAGCTGTGTGAAATAGACAGTGGCTGTGAGGAATATACAGTAGATGTGTGAAATAGACAGTAGGTGTGTGGA